GGTGAGATTGACACGTATAATGTCAAACAAATGCAGTAGATGAACCAATCAACGTAACATCAGCATACGAGCGTACAAGCATACTCCCTTTCACGACTACGACTACATTCTTGTGCACCTCTCAACCTTCTTGGGCTCGGGACACAGCGGCGAACGAAACCCGGCGACATCGCATATTACTGAACACGAGCTCTTTGGTGTCGTCTATTATTCACTCCGGGTTGACTCCTAGTACAGATCCACTAAAGAGCAGGGTAAGCCCCTATAGAAGTACAGGAGATGGTTTCGAGTTAGCATTCTTCAAAAACACCAGAGCACTTACTTCAACAGACCCTGGTATACCAAAGTTGGATTAGTGAGTGAGATGCCGCGGGACCTGGGACGCGGTGCTGCAAAACCTCGTCCTGAAACATATTGCGAAAGAATGGCGGGAAGAAGATTGACAAGACACCTGGATTTGAAGAATATGACGGTTGGTGAACGTTGCCAGAGAAGAAATGGGTGAACTGGGTATGATAGTTTCGGATCCATTTGCATGAAGGGTAACTGCCATTGCACTTACTGCCTGCAGGAATCACATAACCACATTGTGGCATATAAGCTTCCTACGGGCACTAGAGCATGGCAAGCATCTGTCAATAGATTTACAGAAATGCTGCCCACGTCAGTTGTTTCTGATTAGTGCCAGGGTACAACGTTATCAAGACGAAGTGAAAGGCGTGCTATGCAAAAATGGCCAGACGCGTGCCTAAAAATTTTGTGGCGTCATACGCCACTTGCGAGGTCTGTGCAAGTTGTTTTCAGAGCACAGTCCGGGTCATTCCTTACGTGATGTCATGTCATAGAATGCTGCATTGAAAGCACAGGGGTGAGACTTTACCTCCTACAACACTGCAGGCCAAATCCATGTGCTTCACATTATTGAAAAGCCGACGTAGCTTCGACGCCACCAAGCTCATGATTCCTGCCCTTTTCATCTCCCAGTCATTCCGTCATCGAGGCAGGATGACCGTCGTCGGTCAAGTCAACAGGTCAAAGATGGATGCATAACTGCAAGATGCCTGTACAATGGGTCGCGTCGATGGCAAAGCAACATCATATCATGCCACCCTATAGAGTTTCCATACATAGCTCCCAAGAATCAATATTGTGGATGCATTTTTTACCAGCATCATCGAGATGACAGGATATTCGTTACTGTACTCAGAAATTATGTAGGCCAATATAAGTGTAGGGCATAGAAGTGGAAAGTGATGCCAATTTACCCACGGAAAATTTCCTTTGTACGCACGGAGATTGACGGATCAGGAGACTCCGAGCACACGGGACGGATCGATACGCACGTCAACAAATTGTAAGACTGGTAGACTTTGGCCGGCAGCTGGGTAGGTTGGCCGGTAACCCAGTAAGACAGACGTCGGTTCAGTACCCGTTCCGCTGGTGTGGCAAAAAGGACGGCCCATCAGTTGATTCAGTTGATCAGAAACGGAAACGTGCAAGTTCTCCGCAAAGTTTCTAATATCCGAGATTCGAACCACTCGTCCCCTTCCAGGCGCCAAATTGTTGTGGAACATCTATCTTGCCGCAAGTCCAACATGCCTCTCACACAAGGAGAGAACGAAGTGATGCCTGAGAGCGGCAAGTGGTGTGTTTGGGCCAAATGGGGGTCAGGGTTACAGACGATCCCTCAGATGCCCAGCCGTTGCTCTGATCACTGGACTCTGTTTGGTTCAGACCCTCGTTGGCAGTGGAGAAGAGTGGTCAATGTCGATCATTCTGTTCTGGCTCAAATCATCACGGTAGTGGCGCCATAAGAATATTCATCGACTGCCTCGAGCAGAACCGTCTGCGGGACGGCAAAAAGAATCAAACAGACGTTGTCTCACATCGTACTGGCGTAACTCATGATACCCCTGAATTCTTTCGTTTGACAATTTTCGAGGCCTCTAAACAGTGTGATGAGCAAAGTGTGTGGGTGTCACGAGACGTGCCTGGCCACGCATTGAGGCTCCGACGTGCGACCTGTATTGTCTTGGTGTGTTATTCCCAGCTTGAATCTTGCAGGAGGCGATGTCGCCACTGCTGCAAAACGGTCTTGACCGGAACGGCACACCGTCGTCATCGCTCTGATCATGCGTCTTGGACGGAGCCCAGGGTGTCTTGAGTGATCCACCGTTTTCGTTAGCTGTGACATCACAATGAACCAGGGGACGGCGACCGAACCAACCACTTTGTTGTGGCTTGTCGGGGCCGCTGACCTCACTCGTCCTTCAAAACTTAGTTGCCACGCTGGACACTAGATCCTAACCTCCACTGACCTCACTCACCGTTTGGGTGAGACGCGACGAGGGCCGATTTTTGGCTTTGAGTCATTGTTTACATATCATTAACTTGTTGAGCGGCGACCAATTGACGGTAATTGGCTGAAAAGTGTTGCTAGACGCGTCAGGGTTCGCGTGCAACGAAAGGTTGCTTCTGTGGTAAAAAAAAAAAATGTTCGCTTGCCAAGGTTGTCAGCTTGGTTTATTCGTTCTGGTTTATCCCTCAGCTGAACCAGGAAATTGCCCAAGCAATTAAAGGAGAGGCCACGAAGCAAGATGCGAGCCTTCACATGGGAAACTGGACAAAGATCGAAATCGTGGTCTCACGTATGGGAATGAGGCGCAAATGCCATTTGGCCCATTTCAGAAACCGAGGGATCGTAAGAATTATTCCTTCATATTTGTTGGCGTGAGTTGTTGAACCTAACAAAACCCAATCAATGCCCGTAAGTTTACGATGAACTCCACTGCTGCTTGGCCTTCTTCTTGGTTTGTGTCATGCTGTCGACTCTCTGAGCTGCCCTGTTGGGTTAAAGTTGGGTTAAAGAAGCCCGCCCCCCCCGCTTGTCCAATGATCTCATGGAAAACTTGGCAAAGTTGGCAGGCTCGCTATTTGAAGCTGCTCCCACGACCTTGGCAACGGAGGCGCCAACGAACGCGAGCCACGCCGGAATGTCACGGCCTCATTAGTTGCTAGACCTTGTGTGTGTATCGTACGTGGTTACGTGATGTATGGTGTCTGTAGAGGCGAGTTGTAGGGTGTTAAGTATAGCTGCTTTAGACCATGGTACTATTACAGAGACGAAGGAAAAGAAAGATCTGGGGATATAACACAAGGCATGACTCACAGCCATCCATCAGCCGGGGTTTTCCTCAGTGCAACACTCAATCTTGCCTCCACTTACCAGCATCCAATGCAAAACCAGTGGCCGAGTTTAGAAAAGGGATAGTACACCACTATAACCAAGGCCAAAATTCTTAAAGCTCGGCTTTGCTCTGGTGGCGAGGACCCTGAGCTCAGAGCTGTGGGTATCTTCCCGGATTCTGTGCCACCCATAACCTCGCGAAAAGGGGCAGCATGTTGCTAAATCCTGCCAAGGCCGTCGGGGGATGCCAGAGTCCGTTCGACCTGTTACGCCATAGATGCCCCAAGCCCCAGTGTCGCCGTCGATCACAAGGTCTGGAAGTGTCCAGCACGCCGTCGGTGATGCAACACGAAGTCAAAAATGGTAAGGATGTGGCCCCCACAGGCGAAAGAGGTCTTGGCTGGCGGTACGGAGTGCCTGGTTGGGTGTTGAGGGCAAGCAGTCAAGTGAGCGTGTGTGATGCATCGTTGAAATCCTCGAGGTGTGAGCATTAAAGTCGCGTTGTCGACCATACGGCAGCGAATTGGGCCGCTAGTTGAAGAAGAACAGGTCAAGAGGTGAGCAGACAGCGCAGAGGTCGTGATGCACGACTATCATTTCGTAATCCTGGTGAATCTCGCTCGAGGTGTGAATGAGCTCAGCCGGTGTCTGAAGGGATGGTTGGCGTTGATTTGTTGCCTCCGCCCATGCACGTAATATCATGGAAGGTTCGGTGCCAATGCTCCTTCCTTGCAATTGCCTCGCACAACTTGCAGCAATCCCCCACACCCCCTTCCCACACCCCCGGAGCCCCCTGCATCTCAGGCTGCCGGCAGGATCAAACTGCGCAGGTTGTGTCTGGTGTTTGCGGCCCCGCTCTCCTTCTCAATTACCCCCCGGCTAAAGCACTCCAAACCAGCAGTTTGAACCGACACAGACCAGCGCCCATCCTGATTTATAAAGACCCTGAAAATCCACCCATCCTACATCGTTGTGGTCCTGCTGCTTCCTACCATCTATCACAGCCCTACATCTTGCATCAGATCTCGGCAAGGTTGCTCCAAACAGGGCCAGTTCACGGACCGCAATTATCGTCATAGCCTCAACTTCTATACAACCACCTGCCGTTCTACGCCATTGTACTCCCCAACCACCACCACAATGCCTACCGTCCAGAGTTCATACACCATCTCCATACCCAATTCTCCTCCGCCACCTCGCAACTTGTCAACGTACTCCCGGTTCATACACGACCATACCAAGCGACAGATGGAGGCATCCGGTGCTTCTGAATCGACCCGCTCAAGTACGAGTAGCGCTTCGTCGACAAACACGAACTTGACCAACGGCGTATACCCGCATGACTATTAGCTGCACATTGCGAATTACAATTCAAAGAATCATCAGGGAAGAATATCGCTTGGCGATGCGGTCGGCTCTTGGCCGATTACTGTCGAATACCTCTATAAGACAAAGATAAATTATGCAAACAACGGCGTTTTTGGGAATACATTCATGGAAATGATGGAGGCGTGTGGTGCCCTTGGTGTACTGGGAAAGCGAAATTGGCAATATGGGACATTTGATTCGGGTAGTGTGATGATTGAGCGAATTTTACATCTCCCGGCAACAGGAAATACGGATCATGCGGTGGTCTCAAACACGAATTAATATTTCATCTCAATTGTTTTTATCGCCAAGTGAAATCAACTTGTATCAATAGTGAATGCTTACAGGGAAGATATTCACACAAAATTCTCCGTGTCCGCATTGTGAAATGGCACTAATATAATACCCTCCAACTGTCGATAATATTTTACATGATTCTGCCATTTCAAAGCAGTGTGGGCTTCTTCTTAATACCCAACAGCGCTGAATGGTCCTTCTTCTTCTTCACTATCCGCTTAAATGAAGGCGGTGGAACCAAAGGCACTATCGGAGAGTCACCATCGACACTCGCTTGTTGCTGTGACATCCCGACGCTGCTAGAAGTATCGTCCAGTCCATCCACCCGCGTCTCTATCCGTGCCCGGGCATCTGCGAAAGCCTTCTTTGCTGCTTCCTCGTCCTCCTTCTCCTGCCTCGCGCGCTCCTCGTCCTCGGCCCGCACAATAGTATCGGCGTAATCCGTCCCCTCTTTCTCTGACCGGTGTATTCTTGCATTCCGTTGTCGAATCTCATCCAACATGTCTGCCGCGGCCATTTCCCTCCTGGCATCGGCATTCTTAGCCTCAAGGTCCGCCATTGCATTCTTCTCCTCTCCCCCAGCAGCTTCAGCCTCTTCCAATTCCAATCGATCTAGTCTCTCGTCGACCGTTTCTTCCTCCGCGGCTTTGTTTCTCCAGGGCTCCATGTTGCGCACAGCGCCCCTCACCATTGCGTAGTCATTGTTTTTAGGATCCGTTCGGAATATGATTTCCGCACTGCACCTGGTGCATTTAATGTGGAACTGAAAGATCTGGATATTCAGATACTTTTGTTCTATGTTCGTTTCTTTCCGCGCGTTGAACTTTCGCCCCCTGTAAATGAACTCTCCGCATGTCATGCACTTCATGCTGAATGGGGCCATGAGTCGCACCGTCTGGAAACGAGGTCCACTGTTTTCAGATTTTTGCACGCGGCGCCGAGCGAGTTCGCGGGGATCGAAATCCGCGGGATAGTATTTCTGGATGGAGTTGTTAGCGAAGGCTTCTTTCGGGGAGGAAAATGGCTGTGGAAGCCTACCTGAAGAACTTTACGCTCCGACATTGTATCTTGAGAACAAGACCTGCGCTTCTCTCACTATTAAAGTTATTATGAGGCAGCTTCCGAGGCGTTTTCGGGGCGACAGATCAAGACGACGGCTCTGACTCAACAGGGCGATTCGTGGATGGCTGAGAAATCAAGTCGGAATACGGCTTAATGTTGGAGAGAGTTCTAGAGATTGGTCGCAAGGCCGAGTGACAGTAGTGTCCCCGGTGAAGGCCTCTTGCAGCAAACGGGGCGGCAGATAAGATAAGCCCCACATCTTGCATGCGAGGCTGATGCATCTTCCAGTGACGACGTTTGCGAGACTGCGACAAGCTTTAATTCACCGAAGACTCGACAGCATCCTCTCGTGCATCGCATCGACAGAGTAAAAGCCCGTCTCCGTTGACTATCTCTAAATCTACCCTCTCAACACTTCATCGTCATATACCGACATTCCAACTCCTCCGTGATATTGCCTTAGAAAAAGCAACCGATCGCGACCATGCCGAAGGCTGAAGTGGGATCAACCAAGCATCTCTCCAATAAATTGAAGAGCAAGGGGCTCCAGCGTCTGCGATGGTACTGCCAAGTCTGCGAGAAACAATGCCGTGACGCGAACGGATTCAAAATGCACACGCAGTCGGAGAGCCATGTCCGGCAAATGCTGGTGGTTGGCGAGGACCCCAAAAAGTTCATCAACCAATACAGCGACGAGTTTCTGAAGGATTTTCTGCAGCTATTAAAAACCGGCCACGGCGAGAAACAAGTACACATTAATCAGTTCTACCAAGAGTATATTGCGAACAAGGAGCATATCCACATGAATGCGACAAAGTGGCCGTCATTAACAGAGTTTGCTAAATACCTTGGAAGAGAGGGCATTTGTCGCGTGGAGGAAACAGACAAGGGCATCCACATTTCATGGATTGATAACTCCCCCGAAGCCCTGAAGCGACAGGAAGCATTGAGGAGGAAAGAGGCGCAGGATCAGGGTGATGAGGAATTGGAACAGAGAATCATCAAGGAGCAGATTCGAAGGGCGCAAGCTAATGCAGCGAGTCGCGAGGGTCAACCCGAAGATAACAAAGATCGAGAGTTGAAACGCCAAGAGGGTGAGAAGATTACCCTATCGTTTGGTACAAAGCCAAGACAAGAAGAGTCAAAACCACCCAGTCAAGAATCACCTACAGAGCCTTCCGCATCACTCGGCACCAAGGATGCAGAGAGCAAAGCAGATTCCAAACCAGCTGGTTTCGGCGGTCTATCCCTGAAACTCGGCAGCAAACCGCAAACCAAGAACGTATTCGCAGAAGCAAAGAAGAATGCATTTGCAGGCGGATCCCAGAAGAGCGCCAAAATCGAACAACCAAAGAAGATGAGCGAGGCGGAGAGAATCATGCGTGAAGAGATGGATAAGAAGAGATCACGAGCTTCAGCAGGGTTCGGATTCAGCATGTCATCCGGGAAGAAGCAGCGCAGCAGCTGAGTGGCCGGCACCACTCTCTAAAAGAGTTCCTTCATGTATTATAAAACGCTTTCCCCGCATAGATACCGCGAACGTCATGACTGTACACTTTTGCTTCCATGTCTTTAATCATCCCAACGCCAATCGCCTAGTTGCAAAAGGTATCAAATCTCACCCCAAAACGCCCTATGCATCGGCCTCCGTCTCGGTGCCATCTCGTCTACCACAGCGTTAGCAGGTCATCCACCGTGCACATTTCCCCCCGCAACACATACGGAATATATTGTATCCTATATTCTTCTTCCAGTGTGGAGCGCATCTCATCTGGCAACTGCCCGGACACCTTAATGGCATACACACCCGCCACGTAGCCATCCAACCGCTGCCATTTGGCAACCCATGATTTCGCCGGGTTCGCAAGCGTAATGAGCCCCTCAAAAACTTGTGAAGTGCAGCTCTCGATTTGGTCCTGCGAGCCGGCAAGATGCAGGAATTCCTCGCAGTTGGGGCATCCCTCGTCACGGAAGCGCTGCCAAACTGTTAGCACTCAGCGGGGTTTCAAAGGCAGGTCGACCGCACCGAGTAGGTCATGACGATGGAGCAGACCATGCACGCGCGCAGGTAGCGCTGCTGGCCAGGCGTGACGAAGTTTGACATTCTGCGTTTGCGATGCGTTGCGATCGGTTTGACGAATCTGGCGGATGGCGGAAATGTCGACGGTCGAGGTGGTGTTGGGTTAGTAACTATGCATGTATCCGATATGCAATTCTCGATGGCCCTCATACAAATCGATATGAAAACAAAGCCCATTGTTCACCACCAAGTATTTGTTGGCCGTCAGAGAAATAATTCCATGACCAAAAAAAGAAAACAAAAATAGCCACAAAATGTCGCCAACACCATCAACACAAGAGTCAGTCCAGCAACGGGACCAAAAGACCTCTCACATATTACAAACAAGGAGGCTATCAACACCATTCTCCTACGCCCACTTAGTTCTCGCCACAGAGGGACCCCAGGAAATACAGCTTGATAACATCCTCGTCAAATCATATTGTACCGCAGCTCTAAAACAGTTTCTCGGACTGACAGGGCAAGCTATCCCGATTGACATACTCAAGACGCAGAATGAAGCATGTTGGCTTCGACTGCCCAGACAAGATCTCCAGTCCTTCTGTGCTGCTATTACGGCGTACAGAGGTGTGAGTGAGGGTGATACAAGATATATTTTGAGAACTAAAAGGTGTTCGGACTGGTTGGGACTTCTTACTGATGATGGGGGAGAGCAAAGCCTTGAAGGGTTGGAGTGAACATGCACCGTGTTGGAGAAATTGGTGGATGAAGAATGAAGTGGCACGAGATTTCGATTTACATCTACGGGGTATCTTTGTACTGGATACTCTTGTATTTTTTCTTCACCCGACCCAGAAACCAAGAACGAAGAGATGCAAAATTCACCCAGTATTGCCGCCATCTCCTGACTCCAAGTTAAATGCTGTCTTTGATGCCACTATCGAGACTTTTTGAAACCTTTTTTTTTTTATCTTATTCATCTTGTGGTTCTACATCAAAGATGACATGAGAGAACTCTGGGCATATGCCTGGAAAGACGTCAGACAAACGATACAAAACATGAAAGAAGGGTGCATATGGCAAGCTTACCATGGGCTTGATATCCGGATGGGGTACAGCATCAAACTGCTCATACCGGAGCTTATAGTCGGACTTGATATTAATGTAAGCTCCACGATTCTCCGTTGAGTCGCAGTACTTGGGCGCAGAAAAGACTAGAATTTCGTGTCAGCACAGCATAAGAAATAGACATGGCTCCCGCTGCAAAACATACCGGTGATACATCTTCCATCATGCTGGACTTCATAACCATCCATTCGTACTTCATGGCTTCGAATGACGGCCTCAAGGCCGTTGTTCTCGCAGAACCTCTTGGTGACATCGGGCCCAAACTGCATGCCCACGCCTCTCTTGCTGGGTCCTCGGCCAGGTTCGTCTTGTGGATCAGTCCATAGCATCTCCATCATGAGACCAGCCTGTCCAGGTTGTCTTTGGTTGTGTCTGTTCAGCTTGCGGATATCATCCAAGGTGACTTTGTCATCGGAGAACAGGCCACCGTGGAGCACGAGATACTTCTTTCCAACGAGTGTAGCAAGGGGCAGGGCAGAAAAGCTTTCCGAGAAAAGCTTGAAAACTCTATAGTAGAAACTTAGCATCACAGTGACAAGACTATGTCATATAGGCTGAGCAGAACGTACCTTTCATTATACTTGGCCTTGCATTCTCCCTCGAAACCGTAAACGCGGTTCATGTCATCCGTCTCGTGGTTGCCACGATTGAGGAAGAAGCCATTGGGCCGCAACCACTTGAAAGCATACAGAAGCAAGGCAATCTCGGTGGACCATGATCCTCGGTCGACAAAGTCACCGTTGAACAGGTACCAGTGTTTGTCATTGGGAGTTCCATTCCGACGGAAGAGTTCCATGAGATCAAAGTATTGGCCTGGCACCAGTTAGTTGACACTCCACCCTCGAGTCTAGAGAATACTAACCATGAGTATCACCACAGATCGTCAGTTCAACATCATCAGGGATATCCATCTCAACCATAGTAGCCTCGTCGTAGACGATGTTCTTGACCGCGATAATGATTTGGTAAACATATTTCCGGTGGATCTTCTTGCCATTCTTGAAGCGCTCCATCATGTCGTCAATGAATTCTTGTGTCATTTCGTTTTCTAAACGCACACCATCGTATTCGGGTTCAACGACCATGGAATCGAGGTCCAGACCCTCGGCAGCCGAGGGCTCATCGCCAACCTCGATAGCAGCGAAAAAGGCGAGTTGGCGCACAATCTTCTTGCATTCCTCAAGCTTGAGTCTTGCATCTTTGTTGTTGGGGTCTAGTCTGACGCATTCCTTGAAGTCATCAATCGCTTCTTTGGGTCGCAGGATAGCGGTTCGCGCGAGGCCACGTCGGTAGTAAGCCTAAGCAGGAATCAGGCTGGTTTGTCCAAGGACAGTAATGACATGACGAGGGAGCCACGAACCTTGATGAGCTTGGGATTTAGCTCCAGGGCCTTGCCGGCGTCTGCGATTGCATATCCGTACGCTTCGGTCTTGATGTAAGCCTATATGTGACCCATGTAGGGGCGCCAAGGTCAGTCACAAGACCATGTTAGATGTCGCATCGACGAGGGGCGAGGGCTTGTACGCACTTGAGCTCGGTTAGTGAAGAAGGTTGGATCTTTGTCGTTCAGTTCGATTGCCTTGGAGTAGAAGTCGATAGCGGCGGGATAGTCGCCAGAGGCAAAGGACTTGTTGCCTTTGTTCTTGAGATCAACGGCTTCCTGAGACATTGCGAGGCGGCGGCCGAAGGCGGAGGGCGAAGGGTGGGGGAAGAGGGCAGAAGCCGAGAGAATAAGAGTGTAATGTACACTGAACCAGCTAGAATAAGATGAATACAGATGAACAAAAAATACAATTAGGACGCTTCTATAAGTCTATCGTCACCAAGGAAGGGCATATGCTAGGAGCGCAAGCAAATAGGCGCGGCGCTTACAAGAGAGAAGGGAAAAAAAAAAGCCAGCCAAGATGCAAGTCAAAGTTAACAATAGATGGAGACGGCGTGGGATGGGGGCGATGTAAGTACGGGCAGTGGGGGCGGTACAGGAGGTACATGTGGAGTACCTTGGGTGCCCAGGTCTAGCGCCCTGACCAAAGCTTTGTGAGTACCAAAGTATCAATTGATCTCCTAAACAGGGTATGGAGAAGCGACGGGTTAGACAACTTGGGAAGTCAATTCTACAGGGGCAGGCCTTGGAGCATTCGCACGGCTGGGGGGCAACATGGAATCAACAAATTGAACTGATCAAGCGTGACACTCGGAGAGGAACAAGCTGGACACGGGGCGCGGGATGAGCCTGCGATGCCTGAAAGCGGACTGTTGTAGCTACTAGTAGGGGCATGCTTGACGCAAGTAGCCTTTTGGCCAGGTACCCAAACCTTACCCAGCTAGGTACCTAGGTACTTAAAGTAGATATCGTGCCTACCACCTACCTACCTACCTAGGTAGGTAGGCAGGCAGGTTGGTGCTCAAGTACTACTAGACTTAGGCAAGAAGGGTCAAAATATTTCAATGCGCCGTATCACTGCCGCGGGCATCAGACTGCATTGGGTGTCTAGTAGAATTCCCAGCCTCTTGCAGCTCTTGTGAAGTGAGACATGGCACTGGGAGCACCGAGGCCAGAACATTGGGCCCACTTAAACTACCTAGGTAGCTTGATTGATTGATAACAGTTGCAAAGTGTTGCCTGCAAGCCGCAGGCAAAGGCAAACCACAAACCCCCGTTTGACGCATAATGGTGGGGCCAGGTTGTCTGCTCGTTGCTTTTGAAGCTAGCCTTCCCTTCCGCCATCGCCAAATCACTTTCTATGTCCCAGCAATATCAGGCACCGCAACTCGAAGTCCTCCTGCTTCGTCAGAATAATAATCATGCGCCCCGGTTTATAATTCCATATCTCCGGTCATCTTCTCACATCCAAAATGGACACTCAGTCAGACCAGGCCTCCAAGGCCCTTGTTCGGAAGCGAACAGATACCGAGTTGATGCCTGCACCACCGCCTGTCAAAAAGATCAAGAGACCCAAGAAGGTCCTCGATGAAGATTCATACACCGATGCTCTCTCACAAATTATTGCGAGAGATTTCTTTCCTGGTCTGCTGGAAACTGAAACCCAACAAGAGTATCTCGATGCTCTCGAATCCAAGGATGCTGCCTGGATATCGAGCGCAAGCCGGAGATTGCAGCATGTAATGACACCAGGACGGCACAAGGCAACACCAGCACCTCAACCATTCAACGATGGCGGTCGCACTCCTACCGCCTTTGTAGGAGACACGCCTAGATCCATCGCATCCAGAGTGGCGCATGAATGCTCCAAGCTCGACACCAATATGAGCCTTTCCAAATTTCAAGCAACATACACAAGTGAAGACAATGAAAGCTTTTACAAATTGGTCGACAAGCAGAACCAGAAAAAGGCCGACAAATATGCCTGGTTGTGGCGAGGAAACAAACTCCCTTCCAAAATGATGATGAAGCAGAAGGAGGTTACAGACAGGCTGGCGGAAACTCATAGTCTGGTGGACGATGGCTTTGAACGCGACAGGCTCGCCATCAAGGACCGTGAGGACCGACCAGCTAGACCAGATGCTTGGAATGCGGCACCCCAAAATGGGCTCATGTTTGAGCCGACAGGCCTCGAAGACGGCGTAGTAACCATGGCTCAGCAAGCCGACGATGCGTCTCGAATGCCCCCCAGGGCTATCGTCTACGCGAACACACGAGCCCCTCAACCCCATGTGCCTGAGCGACCGCCATCCCCTACCATGTCGTCTGTGAGGGATGCCATTGCAGGAAAGCCTCGCCCAGACGACCAAGATTCTAGCGTTGTTGGTGGCGGCGAGACTCCAAAGGTTAATGGCTACTCCTTCGTCGATGACGAGGATGACGATAAGCCAGACATTTCCGCAGCGCAGAATACCATCAATTTGGGTCCCGGCGACTCTCATAATCCGTTCAAACTTCAGGAGCAAAGGAAGAGGGAGCTTCTCCATGAACGCATGGTAGATCGAATCTCCAAATCTAACAAGGAATCGTCACGGCATGGCTTCACTGGTAAAGATGCGACGCCGACAGTTCCCAAATTTCCCAGCAGCCCTAGAGTTTCGGGAGACCTGACACCTGCCGCTCAAAGATTATGGAGCAAGATGGCCACTCCACGCAACAAGACTCCAGGAAGTTCTTTTGGGTCGTCTACTCCTCTAAGACCGAGAGGATCACTGTTAAGAAGCGTAACTCAACCCGGCACCAAAAAGGACTAGGCAATCGCCGGACTATGAAGCCTCACCTTAACACGCATCAAGATACGATGTAATGATGATTTTTATGAGGCCCAATATTCAATAGTAGCATCAGCATTTTACGGCGTTTTAATCGGAAACGGAAAGGCTCGAGGTATTTCAACTAAGGGCCAATTAGAAGTGGGTTTGTTAATACACAGGACTAGGGTTGCAATGAAGGATATTTGGTTCCATGAAGAAATATGGCGTTGGAATATTTTAGACTTGAAAATCAATCATTAAAGCTAAATTGGCTTTGCAATTCTACACCTTGTTGATGTCGTTTGACAACGTAACTAGGATGTGGTGGACATGTACATGGTAATCGTATCCGCTTACCTGCATATAGCCATGAGATCATGACCCAAAAAAGCGCCCTACCCACTTCCAAGCACCGTCGTTCACAATCGGGCTCGATCGAAGCAGTCATATCGCCAGCCACTGCTCAATTGTCAATGCGCCCTCGGCGACCCGAGGTTTCACGCGGTCATGAGGTTCGTCGACCTGGCCATTGATGTTGCAGCATTGCTCAGCGCCTCGCGATCAGTAGCTGCCAAGCACGTCGCCCTGAGGTCACGACAGTTTGATGCGTACGCCAAGACGTCAGTTATTACTGCGAAATGGCGAGATGCGAAGCCCACTGCGTCGGCTACGCAAAGCGAACCCGAGGACAATAGCCAATCGGAAGGAAAACGCGACGCTACGAAGCAACCAACCGACCCTTTGAGCCAAAGCCCGCCGCGACCCGGACACGAGGGCTACCAAATACGGACCGATGAGTCGAAGGAAACTAGCACTGCTGCCTACGGGTATGCAGAGGCCGTCAAGCAGAGACAAGAGGCTCTGAGGGCTGCCGCAGAACAGAAGGACCTTCCAGAAGGCGTTGATGTCAACATCTTTCACACTAGTCGAGGATCAAGCGTTTTGAGCTCGGTACGGAAGAAAAACGCTGCTTCAAGAAGATCACAACCTGGCGGTCCAGCAAAGGAACATCCGTTGCGGCACTGGCCCAGTCCACCGCCTGTACTACCAGAGGTTGACAACCCAGTGTCTACAGAACCAAGGCCGGAAGGAAAAACCACCTCACACTTCAGTGCTACTGTTGCTGAGTCACAATCGACTTCGGACACATCACAGGAGCCCGTCCACGAACCAGGCCAACCCGAGACAAAGAAGCCGGACAAGCTGGACAACGAGGCAATAGAACTAGCCAAGGACTTCGCCGGTGTGGGAGCCCCAAGCACGCCAACATATGCTCTCCGGGAGTCGAAAGTCCCGGCGACGCGATTTAGTCGACTCTGGAACTATGGCGGCCTAGCAGCCGGCATGCTCGGGGGGGCCATGACTGAGAGTGTAAGCAGAGCCTTTGGAGGGGGTGGCCAGGGGTCTGTCCTCTTGAGCGGGAAGAACATGGAAAGAATGGTGGCGAAGCTGTCACGAATGAGGGGAGCTGCCCTGAAGCTTGGACAAATGATGAGTTTTCAAGACTCAAAAATGCTTCCCGCCCCCATCCAGGAAGTTCTGCAGCGTGTGCAAGACAGAGCAGACTACATGCCCGCCTGGCAGCGTGACAAGGTCCTGGTGAGCAACCTGGGCGAGAACTGGCGAGACCTGTTTAGCGAGTTTGAAGAGACGCCCATCGCCGCCGCATCCATCGGCCAGGTCCACAGAGCGACTCTGAGGTCGAGCGGCGAAAAAGTAGCCGTCAAGATTCAGTTCCCTGGCGTCGCAGACTCCATCAACTCGGACCTGGACAATCTGGGCATGCTCCTAAACGCCACAAAGCTACTCCCCAAGGGCCTCTACCTCAACAAGACCATTGACAACGCCCGCCTGGAGCTCGGCTGGGAGTGCGACTACGAGCGCGAGGCCCAGTGCGCCCTCCGCTACAGAGAGCTGCTCAGGGGCGAGCAAGACGTCTTCGTAGCACCAAACGTCCACCTGGAAGCCTGCGGCAAGCAGGTCCTCACCATGGACTTCATGGACGGCGTGGGCGTCACGCGCGTCAAGTCCTTCACCCAGGAGCAGCGCGACTGGATCGGCACGCAGATTATGCGCCTGTGCCTCCGCGAAATCACAGAGTTCAAATTCATGCAGACGGACCCCAACTGGACAAACTTCCTGTACAACGCCCGGCACAACAAGCTCGTGCTCCTGGACTTTGGCGCCTCCCGCGACTACCCCGAGGCCTTTGTCAGGGAATACGTGCGGCTCCTCGACGCCGCGTCCCGCTCGGACCGTGCTGCCATCAAGGAGCTGTCCGAGAGCCTGGGCTATCTCACCGGGCACGAGAGCAGAGCCATGCTCGAGGCGCACACGCAGTCTATACTGACGCTCGCCGAGCCGTTTATGCAATCGGCCCCCGACGTGTACGACTTCAAGGACCAGACGATTACGGAGAGAGTCAAGGCCCTTATTCCCGTGATGCTGAGGGAGCGCTTGGCCCCCCCGCCGGAAGAGACGTACAGTCTGCATCGCAAGTTGAGCGGTGCGTTTCTGCTGTGCGCCAGGCTGGGGAGCAAGGTCCCCTGCAAGCAGATGTTTGTGGACAGCGTCAAGAGATCAGGATACGTCAGCTAGAAAAGGGACGACGGGCTTTGTATCACCAGATGTATAATAGATGGGAAAAGTAGACCGGCATTTTTGGTGCACGACATAGACAGGCGTGAGATGGGCTCACGACTTTTTTAAAATTCGAGGTGACCAACTACACAAGGCAGTTTTTTTTTTAAACCACGCTTGGGAAGAAACATTTCCGCATTCGTGAATATGAACCCAAATCCCACCACTAATGCACATTTACAAAATTCACCACTTGCAGAAACACTCGGCACATGATAGATGGCTAAAAGGTCTCCGTGCTAGGGTATTTACAAGCACGCCGCGCAAAACGAAAAAAAAAAATCACCTCTCCCTCCGCTGCAGCCCATCCAGCTCCTTCTTCTCCCTGCCGCTGACCTTCTTGCGCTTCCGCTCAATGGCCCTGTCCACCTGGCCCTTGGTCATCTTCTCGTACCTGTTGAGCAGCAGCCGCTTCTTCTGCTCGCTCTTCTTGAGGTAGAAGGGCGTCTTGCCCTGCGCCACCAGCTCCTTCTCCTTGCTCCTGTGCTCGGCCAGCAGCCTGTCCTCGTCGTCCTTCCTGGCGCGCGACTTCTTCTTGGACTCCATGGACGCGAGCTGGCGCTTGAGCTCGTCGCGGGCGCGCGCGTCCTTGGTGGTCTTGATCTGCGCCCGCAGGTCGGCCATTTCGCTGTCGCGGTAGTCGTCGAGGAAGGCGTATGCCCTGCGGGCCTTGGCCTCGTCGAGCTTGCCGATCCTGCTGACGGACGGGTCGAAGCGCGGGTCGCGGGCTTTGCGGCGGGGGGGGGGGGGGGGTTTGGGCGTGCGC